TGATGATGATGATGATGATAGCAACCAAATGTGAGACAGTGTGTCGCGAGTGATGTTGGTTTAATCATAAAATCAATAGAACGACCTCGAGATAAGCTAGTTGATTTGGTTTATCAGTGAGGATTTAACTGTATCAGTAGATAACATTAGTATTATTATTATTCTTATTTATATAGTTGAATATTCTGGTGTGTCTTACATAAAACAAGCCATTGGATTATTTAATTTAAATCTCAAGTTGTATTTTAAAAATGAGCACGCCTACGTAAGATGAAAGATCCGTGATCGACGACGAGTGGAAGAAACTATCAAATAAGGAGTGAAGTGAAGAGCGATGGCCATTACCGCAGTGTCGAGTTGTCTGGGTCCCCCGCCACTTCCTCCGGGTAAACGATTTCTTCAACGATCGTCTAAGAAGCTCTCTTCGACATACCTGAGCTTCCGTGACCCGGCTATTGAATTGTGGATCCCAATGGTTCATCACGAGATTCCTCAGTATGCTGTGATCAAACCTCTTCCACCACGATCAAGATCTCGTGCTTCTTATACGACCCACAATAACCAAGACTTTCATTTCCCTTCAGCAAACTTATTCAGAAGTCAATCGGAAGGAAATTTACGTGTTAAGAAAACCGCAAATATGTCGACGTTGGCTCCATTGGACAAATGTATAAAAGCGATTTACGGTAGCTGGAAAAATTTGATGCATCGTAAGTGTCCTATATATGTATAGATAGAACTGCTTGCTGCTCTAGTACATACATATGCTTTTTTATAATCTCTATCAGAGTACAAGGATACCCAGGGACTCACGGAAGAGACGCGCGAATGATCGTGCTCGATGGAGCGCGAAGCAGGTTCGACATTCGACGTCGTGCTCGGTGACGCCCGTAAACAGTAGCAAACCGATCGATCGTCTAAAGGATAAACGAGTACATATACTCTCTTGAATAAGCTCCAAGTATATATGTATATAGATGTTGGTGAAAGAAAGAGAAAAATCCGAGGGTGGTCTATAATCTAAGACTAGTCTGGAATGTGTGCAATATCTAACTCGATAAGGAATTTTCTTCTTTTCTATTACTATTACATTTACACATTATGGCTTTAATTATGTTGCCTTCTTACATACTTTTTTTTTTTATTACAAAATACAAGTTAACTAATCATCAATAAAAAATAATAAACACAAAATCCTAACACTAATTTTTAATGCTGCTAAATTGATGAGTTACTACCAACGATTTTAGTGAAGTATAAAGGCTTTAAAATTTTCTCAGAGAGACTGTGTGAGGAATCTCCAAGGTCTCTAGGTGCTTTAATAATTCACCATAAGACTTTTCGACGCGTTGAATCCCCACTCAGTAAACTTCCCCTTTCATCTCAACCACCATTAGCTCTGTTTCTGCGTTATTCAGCTGGGACACGTCCCAACTATTTGGCTTGCTATGTCACAGCTTCTATTTTATATAGATATATATATACACCTTTCACAAGCACACGGATGCTGTGAAAACCTTTCTCGGGCGTTCCAGTTTGGCTGGAGAACGGGGAAACCCGTTTACAACTCAAGAGATCGTTTTATCGCGTCGAGACCATAAAACACAAAGTGTTCGTTGTCGAGAAAAGATTCCAAACATTCTGAGACAGATCTCTCTGTTCTACCATAATTTTTCTTCAAGGGAACGTTCAAATTTAGCTAAAAGCTGAATAATAGATATTCGTGTACTCCCTAATCTTTGATATAATTACTGGCTTCTTATCTTTCTTCTATCAAAGATCATCTAAATTCATTTAATTGACATGTTTTTTTCCTGCAACAATTAATTAATATATATCAGTAAATGATATTAGTCCTGAAAACATTGTGCTATATTTATATTATTTATCGTATAAATGGTGAGCTTATATATTAGCTGTAATTAAGCCTACACATTTAATAATGAACCAGTATTCACACGAATGGTTCGCGTGCTTGCTCAAGTACGTAATCCTAGATACTATACCCTCGATGTCGTCATTAAAGTGACTAGGTTGCGTAAAATCGGAGCAACGTAATGCTGATAACAGCATAGAATCGTCCATTCAGTAGACTATTTTTCTATCAGCATTACAAGATGCTTTCTATTTATAAATATTTTTTAAAATAAAATAGTAATTTATGGATTCCGGAACTGGTAATTGTATTCTAAAATTGGAGCAAGCTTAAAAAAATAATGACTAGTTTTAATTTTTAATGGTTATTTAGTTAATTATGTTTGTTATAAAGAGTATGACATCAGAATGAATAATTGGGTAACTTAATCTCAGAAATGAATGGAATTGAAATAGCTACGATAAAAGTTTTTTTTTCTCGGATTATTAATAAAAAGTATTGAAGAAATTTTTTTTAAATAAAATCGATAAATAACTTATGGAAGTTTGAGGTTTTAAAAAGATTGAAGAAAAGTTATTTCTTGTATTTTTCAATTATTTATGCTTAGTTACTGATGTTCTTCTTTATCAATAAAAAAAAAAAAAAAATTAAACAATTTAGTTAATGGATAATTTCAAAACTAGAAAGTTCACGCTTTCAAATACATTTTCGTTTACTTCAATATAATAATTCTTAATAATGATACAGCTGTTTAAGAATGACTACCTGACATTCAATATTTTCTTTATACATATCATCTTTTTATAAATAGTATATAAAACTCGAGAACTGAATAAAAATTTTTCTATCATATGTACACCATTTTTCATTGATTTTTACTTGAAAATTGACAAAAAAAACTGCTCTTTTTTATGTAGCTTTTGATCTCCGCCGATCATTGATCTACTTACATTCAATAATTTTCAGTCAATTTAGTTTTATTGGCAAAACACTTTCCAGGAACCTAAAAAATTTATTTATAACTTCTAAAAATCAGACAATTATTCAAAATAAAAGTCTCTATAAAAATGTGACCATCACTTACTTGAATGCTCACCATTTTTTTTATCTTTAAATTTCTTTTTCATCTTAGTCGAATTTATGTTTAGTGCTGTTGGTTTTGGTTTATATAAAAAAAGAGAGAATTGAAAGTGGGAAAAATCAACAACCTGTTGATACACCAACAATAGAATTTCTCTAAACTACCACGACAAGTTTGAGACTGACGTTAGGTATAAAGTGATGGGCCATGAAGAAAATTTTTTTATTGAAAAAGTATAACTAGTTTGATGTAGTTCTATAATCTAACAACTGTATTTTTCCCCTAACTAGTGAAACACGTGTTAGGCGTGTTCAATACATGGATATAAATAAGTTTCATATTTCCATCGGAGTCTTTTATTAAAAATTATAAAAAAGAAGCTCGCACGTGTCTTGTATATAAGCTGTGTAAGTGTATCTGCAAAGCAAGATGAGAGACAAGGTGGTCATTGGTTATTCATGATGAAATAAGTCAGTTAAGTGCAATGTATGATGTCGCCATGTTATTAAAATTATTACATCGTCGGAATAGGTAAAACACAGAGTTAAAGATATTTCCTTAGTACTATTAGAAAATATCTGAGTAAATGGACACCCGGATAAAGTACGTGCTCCTTTGTATGGAACCTCATTTTTCTACTTCCCCTCTCATCAAGCTATCCCTCTTTCTACTTATCTCGTTTTTTTATATTTCTTTATTTCACGACGAACGTGCGCTAAGATATACTATGGCTTAGTGTTCTCACCCCGAAAGAAGAACACTTCGAGTGTCTCTTCTTCAACGCTCTCTTACTATGGTCGTTAAGGTTTTAGTTGCTCTCGTGCTCATCTCACCAGTTTTCCTTCCTTTTTTATTTGCACTACCAACCAATTGTGTTGACTTTGAGGCCATGTCTATCTCGTTACGTCATGACCTCTTCTTCTACTTTTTGGTTATCTTTCTTTTCCCTCGTTTCTTACTCTTTTTTTTTTTCTAGATACTTTTTTCCAATTCTTTCATCATCCAGCATCAAACACCCACATAACTGTGCCTACGTCCTAAGGAAGATAATACTCGAGGCCACCCAAACATTTTCTTCAATCTTTCAATTAATTATTAATATAATTCAGAGAGAAACTCAATCGCGCAATCAACAGCAGATTTTTTTCCAAAAGACCTGCTATATATTAATTTATATGGCGCTAATACGACTGACGCGTGGCCCAGAGAAACGTGGGAAGACGATGAACTAGATTCAAGTGTAGTGGTAATATAACCCTGTAGGACTAGAAGAAAGTCGTATTATTTATTGATATTAATAATTATTATTTATTTAGTTTTTATTTGGTTTTCTAATACTTTTTATTATTATTATTATTATTATTATTATTATTATTATTAAGGAAATGAATTAATTAGAGATACTGATTATTAATAGATAGAAATAAATGGACTTACTTTATATAACAAACTATATAAAGTAAAGTGTAAAGTAAAGTTGGTGTACTGATAGCGGAAAATATATTCCAATGTTTAATATGTGCACGACATTTTCGGTCGACGCGCGAACTGGTTCGCTTTTATAAATGTAGACGCGTCCTACGCCGATGAGAACCTGTTCTTCCGCTCGGCCACGCTCCTCCGCGCCCGCAACTCTGAGTCTTGAGGGTCTTTTTCCCTTCACTCTTCTGTACCTTAGTTCTCTCTTACTCGTTTGCCAGTGTCGTAGAAGAAGGGGGTGAACCACTCGCGACTTTTCGCTATTTTTTTTTCACGAGCTCACGAGATTTCGAGTCTCTTTTATTCTCATTTGGTTCGCACGGGACAAAGGCCCATAGCAGAGAGGAGTGTTCTCGTTGGCTCTCTGCTCGTTCTCTGTACGTGTATAATTTACTCCGTAAAGAATAAGCTCAGTTAAATTGTATTCAATTCGTACGCAAATTTAAGTCATTGACACGCAAGATGAAAAGAACAAAAGATGATTTTAAAGAACATTGAAAAGCGTTGAAGTGAAGAATAATTAAGTGTGTAAAGTAATAAAATGTGTGTATCTTTTTATTGCAGTTGGCGGTATGAGCCGGCCGTCGAAAGCGGTGACCCAGGTAAAGAAGGTGGCACCACCGGCTGTGCCCGATGTCTTCCGACACTCTGGCTCGTCCTTTGGCTCGGCAGGATACGCCAGCAGCGAGGACGGTGGTTTCCTGTCGAGTGGCGGGGGTGCTCCCGGTGACGACGGGTCCTATGGAATGCCAGCAGGAAAGAGCCCGGGCCCCATTTACACGTATTCTGGATTCGCATTCCCACCAGTTGTTGGGAACAAATATGCTCACGCCGAGGATCAAGGTTAGTATCGGCAACATCGCAGATATTACCCGTAAAAGGTATACCGAAAGCTGACTTTCAAATTAAACCATTGTTCTTTATTTTTAGGTATCGACATGACACAGAGTCCAGGACGTGATAGTCCAGGTAGTTCAGGTTCAGGATCCGGTTCAAGACACTCAACAGCTTCTTTAGACTCTGGTAGAGCATCAGGATATCATTTAGGTCCCCGTGGACCTGGAGCTTTAGCTTCATCACCAAGATGTTCCATCAGTTCACTTGGTAGTCATCCAGATAGACCTACGGATCTTGATGTTGTTCATGCTTGGTTGACGGAACTTCAATTTGAAGAATATTTTCCTCTTTTTGCTTCTGCTGGTTATGATCTTGCAACTATAACTCGTATGACCCCAGAAGACCTCACAGCCATAGGTAATTGACATTTTGATTGTATGAGATTACATAGAGTCTATATAAATTGTATAGAGTAGAGGGAGAAGTAAAATACCGTGTCGTGATTTCAGGTATCAAGAAGCCAAATCACAGAAAACGACTTAAGGCGGAAATCGACAATCTCAACGTGGGCGATGGACTACCAGAACATATACCAGGTTCATTAGAAGAATGGTTGAGACTGTTACGACTTGAAGAGTACTTGGGTGCTCTTCATCAGCAGGGTATGAGATCTGTAGAGGACGTAACGACACTTACATGGGAGGATCTTGAAGATATTGGCATAGTTCGATTGGGACATCAAAAAAAACTTTTGTTAGCGATTAAAAGGGTCAAAGACATTCGTGCGGGTAAAAGAATTCAACCATTAGATCTAGCAAGACTTCCACCACATCCTGGTCATACTCAAGATGTAGTTATTCAAAGAGGAGGATCGGATCTTCCATCGCCAGACGAGGACTGCTCATCTCCGGTATTAAGGTCTTTCCAGAGAAATGAATCGACGTCTGCATGGAGAAGTATGTATGCAGCATTGCCAGGTGGTTTAGAATATAATACAGTAGGTAGAGGACCTAGAGGAAAATCATTAGAGAGTTTAGAAGATGCTCCATTAGCTTATCCACCGTCACCAGCACCTACATCTCATATCGAGTCAATTGGTTGGCGTCCTAGATGTTTTGAAGATGGCGACGTTACGCCTACAAATGAAGTTTCATCGATAATTGAAGCTGGAGGCAATACTCTTCCAAGACCAAGACATTGTTTAGTGCGACCAAGACCAGTAGCTAAGGTAAAACACCGTTAAATTTTTTCTCGACCTAATAAATAAATTAGTATACTAAGATGTTAAGGATGTTATAATAAAGTTTAGTTGTTGGATCAGGTCACTGCAACACAGGGACAATTTAAATCATTGCCTCGAGACTTTGATAATAAATATCAGTTGACATATGGATTAGAAAGTAGTCCGCATTTGACTAAACGTCGTCCACCATCACCACCACGACGTCAGAGTTCTAGAGATATTGGAAGTAATGGAGGTAATGGTGATGTAGTGATTGACTGTAGTGGACCCGTACCAACTACTTGTGAAGAACATCTTCACCATCATCTTCATCATCCACCGCCTCCAGCACCAAGTGGTGCTCCTTCTACACCGCAGATGCATCGGCCAACATCATCAATGTCGCGCTCGTGGGGTAGTGTCAGTGCTAATGTAAATGAAGAGCACGAACTCATTGCAACTCTTGCATTGCAGCATCGCAACGGATCTGACGCCAGTTTCAAGGTATATATATATATATATATATATGTCTAGATAATTATCATAATATATTCCTGAAAGTCAACTAAAAATTCATGTCTTTATTTTAAACAGTCAAGTTCGAGTACAGAATCAGACTCGTTGCCCTTCGCCAACGAGAATGCAGGTACAATAAAACAAAGAGCTGCAAGAGTACAAGAGTATACTAACAATCCATCAAGTCTCGGAAGTCACACAACAAGTCATCAGCATCATCATCATACTCAACAATATCATCATATAATTGGTAGTGAATCTAGTGGAGATGAGCCTGCTGATGTATTAAATGACATTGGTAATATGTTGGCTAATCTCACTGATGAACTCGATGCAATGCTTGAGGAGGAAAAACGCCAAGGCCTCAACTCATAATCATCACAGACTCTGATTATGTTCTTTATTTCAACTCACGTTGCCATAGATCGGCAAAACGATATGAGAACGTTTTGCCGTATTGGAAGGGAGAAGTCACGCACTTAACTGCGAAATAGAGAATAGAATAGAAGTGAAATAAAAGCACGATTGTATTTTTTTTTTGCTTATTTTTCATTAAATCGTAACATAAGAACAATTAATTACATGTATAAAGAACTTTCGAAAGCTTCACAACTTTTTTATATCATGTTTTTGTTACTGTGTTAAAAATTGAACAATTAAAAGTGTAGTCCTTAAATAAAATCGAGTTTTATTATAAACAGGGTCGTTAAAAAAATAGCTTGAAAATTACGTGGCAGAGTTTCTCGGATTCATCTTTCTTTCATGATAGTCATAAAACTTTATATGTTGATACTAAACCGATAATACCGTGCACGTGCGACTCCAATACTATGTCCTTCGAATGCAAGCTTATTTTTGCTACAAACTTAGGTCATATGGTACTGACTGGTCATTATTACCGTCTTCAATCCTTTATAAGACATTCCACTAGAATTTGGTCTAATTTCCAAAAGTAAAATGAAATTTTTGAATACATTGATGCATACAAAAGTAGTTCAATAATGTAATTACTGTCTACTTACAAGCAGTAAAAATGTAGTTTTTGTAATAATGAATAAAAATAGTATAACTAAAAATAATCTTCCGTCAGCGTAAAAATGTAAAAAAATAATGTAACAGGAAGACTGATGACTGTTGATCAATTCCTGAATGATATTTATGTTATGATAACGTATATATTATTAATTGTCAATCAATGTTTTTGTTTTTAATATTCTTTGTTAATCAATTATTCTATACGTCAGGTTTTTGTACGTGACTAATAATAATCGGTGAAACAACGTACCCATCATTTTGAAGGGTACCTGAGGAGATTTTATAAGTTTTACATAACATAAAAATTTATTGTAATTTATACGCAATGTATACAGGTGCTCTATTGCACTGTCGATCGTGACTTAGGTGCGTTTAAATGTGTAAAAATTATTGTCAAAATTTTTCAACTTAAATCACTCAGTCATGCTCATAAAAATTAATTGACAACTATTGATTTAATCAATTCAATCGTAGATCCTGTAGTTGGATCTCGTTTGTGTTCCTGCCAATGTGACACAATATTAAATTGAATAATAAATTCAATATTTAAGATTACTTTATAATGTTTGAGATTATTCTCAGCGAGAAATTAAAATTAAATAATAAATTAATAAATGTAGGTCTGATTATATCAGATCGATGACTTGTCTTGTTAACTACTGTAGAAATAGAGTTATATATATATAGATACCATGAATCAGTAGTGGATTTAGGGATATTGTCGGAAGTAAAAAAAAATTCTTTTTGGAAAGATGAAAAAAGATGAATTGAAAAGAACTGTCAAGTTTATGCCTATTTTTTGTCTTACAATAAAGAAACTAAATTTTCCGTCTATTCATCTCATATTTCATTTTTTCCATTCATATATAATTGTCGTACTTTCTTTTAATCGTACTTAAAGTACCATACTACGTTGGCGACTACCGACAATAGCTCAAAATCAATGCTTTTACGTGGTGTATAAATATTATATATAAATATATTACTTATAGATTTTGTACAAACGTATGCGTTTCACTGGTCTTCATGTATTGAAAATCAGCGCTCGCCTAAACTGTATTGTACACCCCCTCCATGTTGGTTTTAATATACATATATATTATTTGATTTAATAATTATACAGATTGATCTTTAAAATAAAGCCGATTGGTGCAAAATAATGAACAGTCTTGTAATAATCTATTTTAATCCACATTAAAATGAATAGTTACTCTGAATGAATTTTAGATCAAGAAAGTATATTCATTTCAAATTAAATGAATAGTGATAAAAGTAATAAATTAAAATGTAAATGAAAAGCTTTAGGGTTTTTTTTTTAAATTAAAATTAATTTTTTAATTGTATAGATAACGTTTTTAGAAAAGTGTTTTTAAAGAAAATTTTCGTGATTGTGTTATTTTAAATTACTTAATTATTTAATTTGATGTATATGAATATTATTTTTTGTAATAAATGTTGTTAGCGTAAATGAAAAAATTTTGTAATTCATTGTTTTAATTTTTTTTTCTCTGAATAATAATTTGAATCTATGACTGAATATTTATTTGATATACTATACTGCTTTTCTTCTTGTGTAAAAACTGAAATTATTAGACGAAATGTTGCGATTATATAAAAGATGGTTTTAATAGTTCTTTCATGTAGACTATAGAATTTGTTAACTAGCAATAAACTTATAAATGAAAAGTTGATAATAATAATATTGTAATTTGAATGCAAGATTATATAAAGAAACATTATATTATTTGACAAATCTATGTTTTCGAACAACAATAGCTTCCCGCATTCTTGTACATACACAACATGGGTATAAAAGTTTACCAACAGGGAGGGTCATCTTTTCATTCAATTCCGTAATAAGAGATATTCGTGATGAAATATGATGAGGTAAAATTTCTTGCTACAGTAGAGAATATCTATAAGGGTACCTTTTTATTCTTTATCTACACAATCCAAAGCTTGATGTATCGTGTAACAACTAACGCCTGAAAACGTCTAGTTTCAAATTTCAAATGATCGGCGCCATATCCATACGCATGCGTATCTGAAACAAACAACCAATGGCGGCGATAATATCAGAGTGAAAGAAACATCAAAACAGTAAGAGAGAAGAGAAAAGATTGTTTTAAAAATTATTCCGACAATGTGACATAAAAAAATATTATGTAGTGTAAATATTTTGTTGTTTTTAATACAAAATAATGTTTTGTAGAAAGAAATATTAATGACAGAATAATTATAAAAAGGATGGATTGAAAATCTAAAAAATATAAGATAGGTGCTAGCGTCGATACTGTACTCAGGCTTTGGGATTGGAACTGAATGTGAGTACCCTCGATCTGTTTAGCAGCGCGGTGGGAGAGAAACTAGACTTTCAGTGCACTGTTTTGTGGACTGTTCGTAGTCGCCGTCGACGCTGGCGTATATCGTACACGTTATTTTATGTTTTCCAGCGCTTGCTCTGTACGCGTTGTAAGTGAGACCGCGGATGTGAGTGAAGTAAAAATTGAATAGCATCCAGATCGCAAATAGTGGCGGGCGAGTCCACCTGTTAAGTCGTGAAGAAGACACAGAGAGGATGTACTAACATATCCCATGCTGCACGAACAAGAAATTTCTCATCATCTAGACAGCAATAAAGAAAATAAGAAAAGAAAAAGGCTTAGCAGTGGAGTGTCTGTGCTGAGAATTGTAGTGTGTGTATTAATTTTATATTTAATTTTTGATTGGTTAAAAAATTGATAATATATTTTTTGGTGTTCTTTATATACATAAAATTATGGATAACTATCAGTGGCGATATGTGCTTGTTATTACAACGGTTTAATCGAGGTTAGAAGATTTACTCTATCCACGAGTGTATTGACAAGAAGCGCGAGTCGAATCTAAATGATCGATCTAGAGAGTAGAAAAGATATCAAGATTTTAATCAAGTTTTAACTATGATATATTAAACTTGAATTTGTCATTAGAAAAATTTTATTAAATTTTAGTATCCTTTTCATCTAGTTTCCTGGTGTAATTAATAAAAACGAAAGAAAATTTACAAAGATACAATCGCGTGGCATAATATATATATATATATATATATATATATAATAACACAGTCTCGGTCGCAGTAAAGTCCGGTGACGTTTGTACGATAGTACCGTTTGTCAAAACGGTCGGCCACAAGAGGCGACGGTAATCTTTGGCGTAAACGCTTCCGTACAGTTAGGATGGTGCGGTAAAGTTAAATTGTAGAATTTTGAGTAGGACGAATGGTAGAAATAAAAGAAAGCAAAAAGTTGAGTATTATATGTTAACTAAGAATGTAGGACAAGAAAGGGATAGATCGTTTTAGACTCGTGATATAGCGTGTAGAATATAATTTACACACCACAAAGTATCGATCGACCTCGTGGAGACGTTTAATTGCATTGGGGTAAAGAAAAGAAGAAGAAGAAGAAGAAGAAGAAGAGATTGCTATAACAAAAGTCAAGGAACGCGCAATTGCATCAAGTTTATTAATCATAACGTTCTAACTCTCTGGCGAATGCTAAATGTGCACTTTTCATTTTCAGACCGGGCATACGTGACCGGTTAACCAGAGCTGAAACGGTGCTTTCATCGGAGCACTTGTAGCCAGCATCAAGAAGAGGAATAAGAAGAAGGAGATATCTTAGATGCGAGTCATTAGTAGAAATAAATGCAACAAGAAAAGATATGACAAATAGCTAAAACTGCAATGCTGAGAACGACAATTCCTTACAAGAGAGTTAATGGAAACGCTCGTGCCTTAAAACAGACAAAAAGAAATCACGAAATGGTTGAGTAATTGTCACGCAAGAGCGATGCTTCGGTGAGAAAGGGGGTAGAGGATTTTTCATAATTTGATGTTCATCAAGTTTTCGTTAATCGTCCAAAATTTCTTTCAATCACGTGGTGTATGAGGAAAAAAAGGAGAAAAAAAAAGAGAAGAAATTATCTTTATGTTAGTCAAGAGATCATTCAAGTGAGTCTGAGGAACGATCAAAGGCCTGAGATCTTTGCACGATCCTCTGAACAAAGGAGCTATAGCGGGGTCGAGCGAGTGAAAGAGAAACGTGCCTCGGCGAGGATTGAGTTGGAGATCGGATGCGCCAGTATATAAGCAAAAAGAAGACAGAAAAGAAAGAGCAAGGGAGAACGGCCGATCTAGGGGACACGTGTAGGTTGTGTATAGTAAAAGATAGAAGATTCACATACACAAAACAAGTACTGTGGGATTTATACAACGTTCGGTAAAGGAAAGAACAACAAAGACGGAGCAACGTTGCTGTGGAAACTGATGTTCAGTGCCGTATAATGGCCGGGGCGCTGTCCGAGAATGCCCCGAGACCTGTAAGTGTGGTCACCGTTGATGGAGTTACTCCAGTATCAGTAGAAATACCTCCTGAATCTGCACCTGAGGTTACTCAAGATACTAGAAGTCCAAATATCCGTGAACCATCTCGCTGTTTTGCTTCAACTGAAGCACAAACAGATATCGGTTTACGTATCAGCGAAAGCACTAATCCAAATGTTACTGAAGAACTCAGGGATGCACGAAGACGTGAGAGAAGAGTTCGTAGACATCATCGGCGAGCAATGAGAAGTTGTTCTATGCCACCGACATATCCTGGGGGACCTGGATGTGTTCAAACAGCTGCAAGCGTTGGGGCAACACCTGGAATGCCGTTAGTGCCGCCAGTAGGGGGTTTTCTTCATCCTCCACCACCTCACCTGGGTCTCAGAGGGCTCAGTCTCGGTCTTCCATTTCCGGTGCCAGCAAGCGTGTCGGCCTTTGGCAGGTTAGTATACAAGAACATCATTTATTTTCCTTCAATTAAATATCTGACAAATATGCTTGGAATTTTTTGTTTGTAATTCATTAATTTGATTTAGTAATGTGTCATGGTGTAAATAAAAGTATAATTATATCACAAAGACTGCTTGACTGGTAAATAACACACGTCCTTGGATTCAAATTTCATTTTATATGTATAATTTTTCAAATACATACACGGTGTTTTAAATTTTTATTTCTTTATTTATATTTTTTAAGTTTCACTATGTCAGGTGTGTGATGAATGTCCTCTTTTCTTCCTATTCATTGGATCGTACCTTGTATGTCAGGGATTGACTACACTGCAACCATCAGGCGTTTATGAAAAGTTCCCCAAGCGGAAACGATGAATTGTTGGATTTTCAGTAAAGACAATGAACTAGACTTTTAGATTTTGATCATTGTGACACGTGGTCTATCATGATAACAGAGTAAAGGATAGAGTTAAAAGGAAATATACATACATAAATACATACGTGTCAGTGAAACTAGAATATTGTAGCAACTAATTTGTAATAGTTTTTTTCCTTATAATGAACTGACAAAACTTATTTTCCATAAATATTACGACATTTAGACACAAAGAAAACACGCCATCATTTTTTCAACATAAATCATGTGTTAAAGTACAAAGATACGTTTAAATTCAACGGTGATTCTTTAATTGTAATTTTTTGTCAATTGTAGACAAGAATTTCCCACATGATGGTACTGGGTCAGTACGTATATTTTCTGGTAATGAGCAGAGAAGCTCTTTCCTAACTTTAAATTCCCTCTTATGCTCTGAAAACACGCAAAAGTACTACTTTTTTGCTATTTCTTTTTTTCTCAGTTTCTTATCAATTAACATTCCGCTGGGGTACATTTTTATCATAACTGGATCTCTTTATGTCATTTTCCTCTATGTAATAAACCGGGAACAAAAAAAGCAAGTTGGACATTCATGCCTAGATGATTCTTTAAAGAAGACTTTAGGGGGTTCACTTCTTCCTATTCCCTCGTCAGGATAATGTAATGCCCTGGGTACTTTATTTTGTGAATCATTCTGATCCCCGTTCTATTTCATGACCAATTGTCCGCATCGATCTGCACGTGCAAGTCAAAAAATGACACTGCGGTAAAGGAGAAAAGTCGTTTCCGTTAAAGAAGACAGCTAAAATGAAAGGAGAGCGGTGAAAATGGTTATCGTTACACTGAAAAATCAGGGCATTATTTATCTGACAAATTTAACTTTCCCTTATCGTGTGTTAAGCCATCGTAGCCAAGCTCTTTTCAACCTTGTGAATCGTTTGTTAAATGCCTCCAGTTTCCGGAGGGGTCACGTTTTACTATAGAAAATCGATAATTTATTGAAGTACTTGGCCAAATGTAGTAGCCCGTTATATCAGCTTTGGGGGTCCTAATACTCTATATCAGGGGTATCTTTAATTTTTACTGAAAACTCTAATGCAATCAATTATCCTCTTTTGACATAAATAAAAAAGAGAATCTTAGATAAGTTATTGAAATAGGGTGCTTAATTTGGATAAAAAAAGTACATTACATTATTAAAAATTTATAATTCTTTTTATATTTTTTGTTGTATAATTCGAAGTGATAAATAATTAGTGTTGGAAAACTTTTATGACCAGTAACAATAACGACATTGGGCGTGTTTTTATTGAGAGAAATGAAAAATTTTCTATAGTACCACTTTTTTATTATGATAAATTTAAAATATTATTAAAAACTTTTAATTCATCATTGGTAAGGATAATAATTGTTGAATAATTGCATGGTTGTTTAATAATTCTCTTTGATTTTTAAAGTAATCAATATTCATGACATTAGCTAGATTAATTGAATAATCAATTAATTACTTTTATATTTCATAGAGTTAACTAACTAATTGGTAATATTCACTTAGATGTATAATATAATTAATATTTAATTATTAAAAATTTAAAAAGAAATTAGTGTATAAATAATGAAATTAGACATTGTAACAAATAGCAGTATGATTATGATAATTCTTTTATAAAGATTGCAATAATTTTTTGCAATAACCGGACATTAAATTAAATATATAAATATAATTTTCTACGATTAAAATAAATGAATAAAAAATAGATCAGATTTTTTGTCTTTCTCAACGTTTAAAGTAATTTTATCAGAATGAACTAGTTAATGGTAGTCGCTGTAGCATGAAGAAAAATAGATTAAACTTTGAAACTCAGTCGTATAAGGCCTGCTTCAAAAAAATAATATACTTTATTATATCCGTATAGGACAAACTGTTAAAATTACATCATAAGATCTAGTTAAATTTATTCAACATGTTTGATCGTGAGGATCACGTCTTGAACAACACGGAAACTGCGCTAGAAGCCTGAGAGAGCACTGCACTTTCTATTCCGTTCATCATTATCGTGAACGCGTTTTTATTCGTTCTGTTAAATTTCTCTAAACATTAGTTATAGCATGCAATTGCTCTCAGTGGCTTTGAAATAGATAGCAAATAGATGAAGTAGTTACTGCCAGTGGTCTTTTAGTGTCTTCTATGTAGCTAGTAATAAACAACAACGACAATGATGACTTTACGAGGAACGAGAAGTCTGTGTCAGTGGGTCATTGCTCTATACTAAAGTCTTTCATTTCTTATATTGTAGAGACGCAGTACCGAAGCAGTGTTGCGGCTTAGGTTCTCCTCCTGTCCGCTGGTCCATTCTTGGTGTGGGTATTGTGGGCCTGGTTTGTGCAGCAGCGGGTGCTCTACTCGGCGCTCTGAGGGCAACCGGTCGTGATCACATTGCTGTTTCTCTGTTAATGATTGGTAAAACTTTATACTTATTTATTTCTTCTAATAATGTCTCGCTAAAGATATATTTTATACGCCTTTATCATTCAGCTTATTGATTGACAGCAAGTGATACGTTTTAGCAGCACCGGATGATACTTGTCACTTTATGATTCATGATTGGGATGAAATTGATCTGCTTGTATTTGGAGGAAATGATATTGAAGCTTTGGTAGAATCTATTTTCGATTGTAGCAGTTTAGACTCCAGAGAGTTGCTGCCTATCTTCATGACCTACATATCAACATGACAAAAGCTATTTTGGAATAATTACTTTTGCATTTAACATGATGATAAAGTCGTGTCCATTTTAATGTCTTGTCTGATGGACACTTTGTTTGTTGGTCATGCTATGTTTACCATAGCCACTAAGACCTTGTATTTAATGTGTGTTTAAACAAATAGAGGCAAAACCTTGTCCGTTTTTTCTATAGATAATTGCAACATATGTTGACTTTATCAAATTGGAAAAACTATGCAAACTATGAGTTATGCAAGTTAAGAATCATCACGTTTCCTATGGTTTCTTTTTATTAGTAAATATTATTAAATACGCTAATTTTCTTATTAAAATAATGCATTCAATTAACCTTGTTAGAAAAATTATAGATGCACATAATTCAAAAAGTAGAATTGTACATTAAATAAAACACTTGAAACTAAGTGTATATGAATGATGTCTGTGTAACTGGTTTTGTTGCTCGAGAAAATTAACTCAAATTTCATTCGCGTAGCTTTTGAACATTCTTCTGGCTCTCTAACCAGTTTTACATATAGCATGTCTTGAGGTCATCACTATCGATCTTGAAATAATTTTCAACATCATCATGGCTCACTGACTATTATTATCAATTTTATGAGTAGCTGTACAAACGAACAATTGACGGCTCTTTGGATTTAAATATTCGTAGATGAGATGAAATTATATGAAGAGTTGCAATGCGGGTTAAGCATAAACTTTGATGCAAAGACGGTTAATATAAAGAGAAAGAATAATATTAAGAGAGGGAAAAGAGAATGTTTCTCTGGTATTGTAGACTATATAGTCTTAGGGGCAGCAGCTGGTTACTTTCTAAATGTCAGAAATATAACCTGCAACCCATAGGAATACTCTATCTGTTAGCAATCAAGTGAATGCTCAATAGCACCCACACTAACGTTCTTATACTCATCTCAATTCATTTAGCAGGGGGGAAGTTTGCAGGGAGTTTCAATATAATGTAGAATATTGTTGACAGCTGGGTGATGGTTTGCGATCGGAATACATTGTCGTATACACGTTATACTTCAGTTGAAATTTATGTACACTCGACAAAAGGGATAATAGTTGGAAGGATATCTGAATAGATTTTCACTCAATGTACACTACAGCTATATGTGTAAATAATATTTCTCAAACATTTCGTGAAATTCACATGGATATGTTTCAATACTGAAAGAAACAAAGCACGTCGGATATGCTTGATACTCTTCATAGTTTCTTATTTGTGGTTGTATATCAGTGGCTCGTATACCGCATCGGTTTTCTCAGGGAATTTTCAAGTTTAAACAAGCTCAGGCACCGATAAAAAATTTACAACAAAAAATACAAAAGGACATAAATAAAAAAGTGGAAAAAAAGAAGAAAAAAAAAACTTGCACTTGGCTACCTTCATCTTCTGTGCAATTGGTATTAAGGAGCACTTATCTTTGCAGGTATAGGAGTGGTATTGGTGACGGTGAGCGCAGTAGCATGGCGAGTGACCAGCCGAGAAAATTGCGGCAGCTTCTTCGGTTTCACGGGCATCTCAGCAAGGATTCCACCGGCGAGGCCGATGCATCCATATGCGGCCATGATCTATCCGGAATTCCAGTTCAGGACGCCACCACCGAGTTACCAGGTAGATAAATGGGTCGTTGAACGTGACAATTTTATCATTATTTCTTGTATTTAATCACGTTGTACCGGTTGTATTAATCATTACTATAATTTTTATTTCTTTCTTACAGGCTAGCATGCAAGAGTATAGATTGCGATTGTTACTGTTGGACAGACTTCAGCCTACCTCATCGCCTCCGCCAACTTATAGATCCAATACTGCAAGTATTGTTGCTCCTTGTACAACAACGCGCGAGAGCCGACCACCAAGTTATTGTGGACGTACAAATGTAACACCAAATGCAACTTTAACACCATCGAAAAAGGATGCCAATCTTGTGAGGATCGTTCAAACGGAATCTGAACCAGTAATTTTAAGCGGTGATCAAACACCGCCCGTCTCTACTGCAGTAGAAATTCTCGCTCATTTATAAACAAACCATAAAGACCATGGCTAGCGGATAGCACCAATTTCTAGGCAACGATTTCATGCTACGTTGTTCTTAACTCGCGGCGCATTGTAGATATACTTCCGTTCTCGTTGTCCCTTTCTTCCATATCTACTTCCGTTTGAAATGTCCTCATGTTTCACGCACCGTTGACACCTATCCCAGAGACGTCATAAATATCAACGAATTTTACTCAATATCAATTTACAGTATTTGGACGAGATAAATTGAAGTAATAGAATTGAGAGAGCAGAAGAAATTTTCATTATCAATATTTGATATATTTTCATGGCATGAGAATTTTTACTATCAAGCTGTTATGACGATAAAAAAAATCTCTATCTCCTTGAATTTAGAACAAAGTGTTGATATGTTGTTTAACCAAACTTTTCCCTTTCTTACATAGGCAAACAACTGCATGTATATTACTGGCTAAGCTATAGATTCAATTCAATGTATAGCCAATATTGATCGATGTCTGATAAAATTAAATGCGAAACAATGTATGGTTATATTTTATTAAAATATTGTGTGTGTGTGTGTGTGTGTGTGTGTAAAAATTGTAAAGAATATGTCAGAAGTTTGTTAAATGGAACCTCAGTTGCAATTAAAAAGCGTGAAGAGTATTGTTTGCACGATACGTCCAACAATTGTAAGCATCAAATTATGCCAACTTGCTCGGCAGACCGCATAACGCTCTCGTCCTCTCGATTTTAAATTCAACTTTCTTTCGACATGTATCTTGAATGTACAAGTCGAGAAGGTTGTTGAAAAACTACATACCAAGGGTGTTTTTATTTAATGTTTATCGTGAGAATGAATCATTTTTCACAACAACGTATTACGCGGTCGCTGTAACGTTTGTCAGATTCTCTGTATATGTTGCATCATCTTATTAGAGAGAAAAGCTGTATCAGTGTCGAATGGCCATTTAAATCGCTGTGTAGGCGAAATTGAGCGCAAGTATAATGTAAAATATAACATATATATGGAAAATAATTCAGAAAAATGGGTTACATTTTCAATTGAGATCACTGTAAGACGTATAAATTTATTCAAATTAACTGAATCACTAAACGATTGAATAATTGTAATTATTTTATCGGTGCTGAAAATAATTGTAACAAATTTGAAAAGAGAAATAAAACATGTGACTGTAATATTGCTTGGAACATGTAATGAAAAATTATCCAAGTGCCTAATATTATTTGTGTAAATCATAATTTTTTGAAACTGAATTGCAGGTTGTATATGATATATAGTATAATTATTTTTATAAGAATTGTTAAAATAATACCGATAATAAGATGTTGTACTTGCGCTTGTCTCTCACGGCTACAATGTATTAAAAAATATCGAGTAAAATACTTAATTTATAAAGTATTGATTACTCAAAGTAAACTTGCAATGATTCGTGATATAAATAATTTAAAGAATAAATTAAGTCATTGTTTAAATAAGTAGATACAATCTTTATAATGTAGAGCAATTTGTATATTAATGAAAATATATAAGAAATATATATTTATCTTATTACATATCTAACTGATTCAATTAATTTTCATAGTAATTTAACGGCATCATATGGGAGTGTAACTATAACAAAGATAGAATGAGTTTCCTTCATAAAATTGAATAAAAAAAATTCATTAGTAAATCATTTGCATGACGAAACGTTATTTAAATGTATGAGGTTATTAGAAGATGGATATTAAAAGTATTCCGGCAAAGGAAGTTGATATTTTAAGATTTACTTTAATCATTGAGTTTATTTTAGAAAGAAATAAAATATCTATTTACATTAGCCTAACACCGACTTGATAAGATCTACCGTTGCATTCTGAGTGGTTTTTACGCTCAATGAGTAGGTGTTAAATCCATAATTTTTTATAAAATTAATAAATTTTGAGTGAAATTCCGTTACGCTATATCACAAATATTTAGTATTATAAAGATGTAACGTGCAATAACTGACTACTCAAATTTTATGGAAATTTAGCTAATTGTTGTTATTTACTAGAAAAGTCCGTACTCTACTAAAATGAAAATAAATGATATTATTTATGAAACATTATATTTTTAATGTAATCACGAAGTGTGTAGTTTGTTGAGTTTAGTAGCGGTGCGAAAATTGGAGAGTAGGAAGGTAAGTGTCAAAATAAAAAAAAAGGAAGAAGCATTTATGATGTAGTCTATAATGTGTAGGGATGCCGTAGGAGCCGAAGTGACAGAGAAATACACGAATGTATGCAGAAATTGGTGAAGAAGTACAACTTTGTTAGAGGATGGAAGAAATTATGCTGTAAGTATGATTTCGAGTCGTGGAATTGGAAGCTTATGTTCTAACGAAGGTACAGATATGCTCGTTGTCGGTGTGGACATTGTCGATGCGGAGTTATCAATGAGAAAGAGAGTTAGGGTGGAAAGGAGCATAGAACGACCCTGAAACACTCATAACTTGGAGAATATGGGGATGTATGAGGAGTCATTTGGTTGGTGATGATGTGGGGGTTCGGATGATAAGTGTGGAAGTCTGAAAGGTGGAGGGCGGCGTTTGGCGCAAAAAGCGAATATAACATTGAAGAAAGGAGTTTAGTGACGTTGAAAGGTGCGATTGAAGAAAGAAAAGGCAATGTTAGTGGTGGAAATGAAGCAAGCTACTATTTGTTTGGTAGAGTAGTGAACTGATATGGCCCAATTTGACGAAGAAGGTTTGCTTGTACTCAGCGAAATAATCGGAAGGAGCTTATGTTTTTCGTAGGCCGTATTTCTCTGGTAGAACAGTGTAGTTGGGTGATTCTATGGTAAAAATGGTAGTCCTTGACGTGGATGAAGTGTAGTCATACGAGGGAACGACTGAAATTGGGCATTTTATTGTAGACCGTGTTTCTGTTGTGGAATGGTTAAGCGGAATGATTTCTTTGTGGGAATGGTACAAAACCATGTCGAATGTGCCCAGTTAGCGGGAGGATCGACCGTAATGGCTGTCTATTCAATGTAGGCCATATTATATCAGCCGAACATGGTAGTGATGTGTTTGTGTAGTAGGAAAGGGCCAACCGGCCAAGTGGACGAAGGGTGTGCGATCATGACGTGATGTGATTCCTTAGTATAAACGGTCACGCTATGAGTAGAATGTGTGACGTTGTGGTAAGGAACGATCTAAAGAACCGTATATCTTATGTAGAATATGTACTTTTTGTGTGGAAGAGTGTCATGATATGAATTCTTTGTAGGAGTGGTTATTATCGATGTCGATTATGTGTAGTTTACCGAATGACGATCTGAATTACCCTGTTTTCGTCGCAGACAAGATTTTTCGAGTAGAATGGCTTAGCGATACGATTTCTTTGTAGAAACAGTTACTCTAGGTCTCGATTATGTTTAGTATTATCGATGGACGATTTAAAGAGGTTTTATTTTCTTTATAGACTATGATCGGTTTGTAGATTGGTCGAGTGATATTAACTGTTTTGTAGCAAAAGTCCCTTTTCCCGTAGGTTTTGTGTAGTTGTACATATTAATGACTTAAATTACCCCTTTTTCCTTGTAGATTGAGTTCTCTGTAGAACGGTTTAGTGATATGATTCTTTGTAGGAACGGTCCCTTTTCCGTAGATTATGTGCAGTTTTGTAGAATGATGACCTAAATAACCCCCTTCTTCTCGTAGACCGGACTCTTCCTGTAGAACGGTTTAGTGATATGATTCCTTTGTAGGAACGGTCCCTTTTCCGTAGATTATGTGCAGTTTTGTAGAATGATGATCTAAATTACCCCCTTCTTCTCGTAGACCGGACTCTTCCTGTAGAACGGTTTAGTGATATGATTTCTTTGTAGGAACGGTCCCTTTTTCGTAGATTATGTGCAGTTTTGTAGAATGATGACCTAAATTACCCCCTTCTTCTCGTAGACCGGACTCTTCCTGTAGAACGGTTAGTGATATGATTTCTTTGTATGGAACGGTCCCTTTTTCGTAGATTATGTGCAGTTTGTAGATGATGACCTAAATTAACCCTTCTGCTCGTAGACCGGACTCTTCCCGTAGAACGGTTTAGTGATAGATTTTATTCTTTGTAGGAACGGTCCCTTTCCGTAATTATGTGCAGTTTTGTAGAATGGATGATCTAATTACCCCCTTCTTCTCGTAGACGCGGACTCGTCCTGTAGAACGGTTTAGTGATATGATTCTTTGTAGGAACGTTCCCTTTTCCGTAGATTATGTGCAGTGTTGTGAGAATGATGACCTAATTACGTCTTCTCGTAGCCGACTCTTCTGTAGAACGTTTTGAGTGATGATGATTTGTTGTAACGGTCCCTTTTTCGTAGATTATGTGCAGTTTTGTAGAATGATGACCTAAATTACCCCCTTCTTCTCGTAGACCGGACTCTTCCTGTAGAACTTTTAGAATGATATGATTTCTATTGTAGGAACGGT